TTCACTTTTTCTCTTTCGTGTTTTTCCACTGCAGTTTTGTTTTCCCTTCCGCATTTTTTATTTTTATATTTTCTTTTGTTTTCATCTTTTTGTGGTTTACTTTTGTTTCTTTTCACCTTTTTACTTTTGTTTTCACTTCGTTGTTTTCACTTTTGTTTTTTCCTTTGTATTCACTATTTCCTTTCTTACTTATTTAAATTTTTTACTTTTATCTTCACTATTTTGTTTCATTCGTTTATTTTTTACTTTTGTTTTCATTGTTTTGTTTCATCTATTATTACATTTTTTCTGATATTACTTTATTCACTGTGTTTTTACCCTTCAATATTTTGGGGGGAGATTTTGACTTTTATTTACTTTTACATTTATTTTACTACTTTTTTTATTTTACTTTTATTTTGCATTTTTTATTAATTTTCACTTCTGGCTTTTTTTTTAACCATCACCGTTTAATAATAGTCCACCAATAATAGTGACTGTTAATGTTATCAGGTAGTAATATACAATTAACCTGGGTAGTAATATCCAGGTGAGGACCAGGTAATTACAGGTGTCAAGGGGTAGGTAAGATTAGTGATACAGGTGTGTGATTATAATTGTGTGTGGAGGTGATGTGAGTCCAGGTGCTAATGTGAAGTAACAGGTGACATGGGTCGAGAGGCTTTGTTTTATTTATTTGTTTTATTTATTTATTTTATTTTATTTATTTTATTTGTTATTAATTTATTTTATTTATTTATTTATTTATTTATTTATTTATGAAATTTTTGGTCATTTTGGTGATTTTGGATTTTAAGTCGGTGTCGTTTTTTTGTGAGGGTGAAGGAAAAATGTGTGTACAGTATTTGAGATCCAAGATTATGCTTTATTATTGTACGGTACTTGACTAACACACACACACACACCATATCTAAACACATATACAACAACGCTCTCTCCACCCTGGACATGCCATCCTTCAGTGACCACCACCACGCACTAGCAGGGCTTGGTAGTGGACTACTGCACCATCCTCGTCATCGCCACCTACTGCCACCGGCAGTCCCCCGCCTACCTCGCGCAGTCCGCCACGACAACAAAACAAAGCCCATAAGAGCCCGCACTGATAGATATAAGAACAGCACCATCCCATCTATTGTTAAAATAATAAACAGCTCCTGATTTTTGTACTGTACAGCCCTGTAAATGTATTGAACGTATATTATTATGTCTAAATCACATGTAAGTTGTATATTTTCAGCCACCGGCTGCAATTCCATTAATAAACCGTTTATTATTATTATTATTACACACATACACACACACACAGATAGATGGATAGATAGATAGTTTCCCCAGACAGTTCAATAACACCATTTTCTCTTGTATGGGAAGAAAATATAAAACAAAAATCCTAATATTGTTTTGTACACCTCCAGGATATATACCATCTTTAAAACCGGGTCCTCCTCCCTCTTACCCACCCATGTTGGATAATATAGAGCTGTAGACACAACATGGGATATAATAAGTACACTGTAGATTATGTAGGTGTAGCTGGGGGGGGAGGGGGAGGTAACATTGTGTAGGTGGGAGTGGGAAGTATTATATGTTTAGCTCTGTTTTGCCCCGAGCATCTCAGTCCAGCGTTTGCATGTGTGGGAACTCTCTCTCTCCCCCATCCACTCACACTCACTCTCGCCCACACTCACACACTCTCGCCCACACTCACACACTAACTCTCGCCCACACTCACACACTCACTCTCATCCACTCTCTCCCACTCACACTCTCACCCACACTCTCACCTTCTCTCCCCGTGTGGAAGTAAACCTCTCCACCTCTCTCTCCATGAGTCTCTCGTTATCAAAAGAAGTTTGTGTATTCTGTTGCCGCTGTCTGTATGGCTTCTCCCACCCTCTCTTTCTTCTCCCTCTCCCTGCTCTCACCTCTCCCTTCCCCCCTTCTCTCACCTCTCCCTTGCCCCCCTCTCATCTCTCCCTTGCCCCCCCTCTCATCTCTTCCTTGCCCCCTCTCATCTCTCCTTGCCCTCTCTCCTCCGTTCCCCCCCATCTTTCTTTCAAATTTCTCTCTCACCTCGACCTCTCCATTCCCCCTCCTCTTTCTCTCCATACTCCCCCTTTGCTTCTCCCTTTCCTTCTTCGTCTCTTCTCTCCCCCCTCCCGTTCATCTTTTCTCTCTCCCTTCCTCTTCTTCCTCTTACCTTTTCCCTCTCCCTCGCTCCCTCTACCTCCCTTTCCTTCTCCTTTCCCTCTCTCTCCTCTTCCTTCCTCTCTTTTTCCTCCCTCTCCTCTTCTTTCCCTCTCTCCTCTCCCTTCCTCTCTTCCCCTTGTATCTTTCTCCTTCCCCTCCTCACTCCTTTCATATCATCTTTAAAAGAGGATATGGCCATGTGTGTGTGTGAGAGAGAAAGAGAGAGAGAGAGAGAGAGAGAGAGAGAGTTGTAGGCTCATTACCTGTGGCGGGGTTAAGGTCAGAGGTCAAGGCTATAGGGGGGCCTTTTTTTACACCTGGTATTATGGTGTTTACCTTTGAGGTGTGTGTGTGTGTGTGTGTGTGTGTGTGTGTGTGTGTGTGTGTGTGTGTGTGTGTGTGTGTGTGTGTGTGTGTGGAAAGGTGCAAACGTGTGTCCAGTGGGTGACTGTCATGCTTGTTAATGTCATGGTATTATGGGGGCAGTGTCATGGGTATTATGGAGCATGGGGATAGTGTCATGGGTGTTATGGGGCAGTGTCATGGGTATCAGGGTAAGGTGTCATGGGGCAGTGTCATGGGTATTATGGGGGTAGTGTCATGGGTATTATGGGGGTAGTGTCATGGGTATTATGGGTGCAGTGTCATGGGTATTATGGAGCAGTGTCAGTGAAGCTCATGTGGATGTGATGAGTGTGGGTAGGTGGGTGTCGCGGGTACTGTATGTGAGTAAAGTAAGCGGCTGGGTGGATGGTGTGGGTGGTTTAGTAGTACAGTAGCGCCATGGGTGGGATCTACGCCTGGTGTGTGGGCGGATGGGTGTAATGAGAAATGGGCGGTGGGTGGATGGTTGGGTGAGTTAGAGTGGGTGGGTGGGTTAGAGAGTGCATGGTAGATGAATGGATGAATGAGTAGGTAAGTGGGTTAGAGTGGGAGGCGGTGGGTGGGTTAAGGTGGGCGGTGGGTTAGAGTGGGAGGTGGATGGATGAGTTGGGTTAAGGTGGGCAAAGGGGGTTAGAGTGGGGCGATGAGTAGGTGGGTTAAGGTGGGTTAGGGCGGGCGGTGGGTTAGAGTGGGAGATAGGTAGGTTAAGGTGAGTGGTGAGTAGGTGGGTTAAAATGCGTGGGTTAGGGTGGGTATCAGCAGTGGTTCATTCAGCCATTGTCATGGGTTGCGTTAGGCTTACCCACGCAACCAACTCCAAAGTTTGTTTTACCAGAGATAAGACGCCCGGCGAGGCATAACTGGGACATGTATTTTTCAATTAGTGTATGTTAGCCAGCCTTTAGGGGGGTGGGCAGTGGAACAGTGTTGTACTGTTCATCGCTTCACACCCAAAAACCTCATTTTAAGTAGTATCCCCTGAGCCATGGGTTAGTTAAGAAGTCGTCTTGACTCTCTCCCTCCTGAAAGGGGGCGGGACACCACACCACACAGAGTCCTCCACCGCACTCCGCCCTGTGGACCGTCGTCGACACGAGACTAAGCGTGTTAACCTAGGTTGTTATCCCCGTGGAAATATCACGTGTGGAAGCCTGGTTGCGACAAAAGCAATCCAGGCTGGTCTATTGCACCTAAATGGTTAATTCAAGTCACGCTTACCAGTCCTCCTTGCCGCGACAACCGTCTATAGTGACTGTCAGTGACGCGAGACTATGTGTGGTAACCCAAGAGTACTTTTTGTTGTTATGGCCGTGGAAAGAAGTTCTTGTGATGAAGCCTGGTTGCAACAAGAGCAATCCAGGCTGGCAGTAAATGTATCACCTGAAGAATTAAGGCTCTGTTAAGTCATACCCATAGTAGAGTAATCACATGTGTCCCCAAGTTGAAATTCTCTTTTAGAAGATTAATTTTATTACAGCGTGAATGTGAGTGACTCGTACATCCATGCAAATTGTAAATCATTGTATGGAAGCTTGACAAATAAATGTAAGTGCAATTATCTGCTCGTATCTGTGATCCTATCTTATTATTACTAAAGGTAATGACTGATTGGTTATGACAAAGTATAACCAATAACTGAGATAGATGTTGGAAATTAATGGAATTCATTAAATCATCATTTATCAAGTATAAATCATGGAATGTCGAGTGGTGGAGTGAACTTCTACGTAGATACACCATAATCTCCTGTAAGTAACCAGTGTGAAGGTATCGAACTCTACGGTAAGAAATAAGAAATACGACATATTATTATCTTTATATAATATAATCCCCCCCTACTACCACTGAACCACCCAAAACCATGACAGCCATTGTAAGCTGGTCCACTTGGCCCCGGCTGTCTTAACACAGCTTATAGTTAGGTCACCAGTCCTCCTCCTCTTATTGTTAATTGTACTCTGCTTCTTCTTGGATTCTTTGTCTTGTTCAGTGTTGTTTAAGAGTCCTTGTTTGTTTGCTTGTTAGAGTTGTTTAGGGTTATGAGTTACTTAATTTTGTTTGTGTGTCGTTGAGTTTCCTTTGTTTCACGATTTGTTAATTCATCCCTTCCCCCAACCAACCCCGCCCCGTAACCCCACCCACTCCCCTCTCCCCACCAACCCACTTCCCACCCTCCCAACCAACCCTCCCCCCACTCCTCCCTCCCCACCCACCCAACCCTCCCCCACCCCAACCAACCCCACTCCCCAACCAACCCACCCAACCAACCAACCCCCCCACCCTCCATTTTTTCAGAGCCATCACTTGTTTCAGCAAATTTCAATAGATTTGCTGTGTAAAAGTACCGAGTATTGAATAGTGCAATGTATAAATATATTTTTTTTCAGGTAAACAGATCATTATTTTCTATTTCTCTCTATTGTTTCAGGTATGGCGAGGCAAGAGTTTAAAGCTGTAGGTGTTTTGGTGAGTTTTTTGTTTTTGTTTTTTTTACTGTTATTGTGTTTGTTTATCGCTCGCTGTGTTTAGTCTGGGTGTGTGTGTATGTTGTGTGGTAGGTTGTGGCGGTGTCCGGGAGGTGAGGATTGTGTCCATGTTAAGGTGTTTAGGACAAGATGATAAGGGTTGGAGAAGGAAGAGGAAGAAAGAAGAGACAGAAGGCGGGAAACATTTAAGAGAGGAGGTACAACGAGATGAATTACAAGGAAGAATGAGGAAGTGCGAGGAGAAAATGAGGAGAGGAAGAAGGAAATATAAAGGGAGACGAGAGAGAGAGATAATAATAGAGAAAGAAAAATACTGCAACAAAAACAAACGAAACTTTGGGCATGAAGCAAACAAAAATTTTCTCCGGCCATTATTAAAGTACTCCCAGTGTGGTCAGGGAGCATCACATTGGCGTAGGAAATCAATTAATAACACTAAGACTACAGCCTAACTCACTCCTCTACCGTAACCAAAATCAATAAGGCTCATCAACTACCAATAAAGAACTTGTGGATGAAATTTCGTTGTAAAGTGACCAATACAACTTGAGTTATCGCGTGGACAACATTTGTAAACAGACTCACGGACGGACAGTACTGGAGCGATGGTGATGATGTAGAGTAACTGTAATGGCCCCAGGCAACCATTAAGGGTGAAGGGTCACAATTATGTTATGACAAGCATGGGGAGATGGTGACCGAGTGGGGATAATTAGTGCCCCCATTAACAAGGTTCCCTGTGAGGGCCAAATCTGTCGCACCTAACGTTACCTTACCTTACTCATCAGCCAGCCAGCCTTCCTCGCCCGCTTGTTCTACAGTATATCCCGAGGCAGCTGTTGATGGTGGGCGTATTATGTTACAGGGAGGTTTGTGTTGTGTTGTAATACTAATAGTAGAAGTTAATAATAATAAACCTTATAAATGGTAATGAAGATTTTGTAAACATTTAAAAAAAACAATAATAATATTAAAACAAGTAATAATAAGTTTGTCAAGAATATTAATGATAACAATTAGAAAAACGTACCATGAAAATCCGATTGAAAATAAAATATAAACAGGAAGTATCAAGAATAGACAATAAAAAATTATAAAAGCAGGAATGGGAAGAATATAAATAACTAGAAAATAATAAAACAACAAAATAAATGAACAAAATGCGCGTAGATATTAGGGACGATAAAGAAAATATGATAAAATTGAAGAAAGAAAATACTGTATCTAACCAAAATGAGTAAATGAATTAACAGAGATTATAAATAAATTGTTTAAATCTTATAATATGTAAATTAAGAGATTAAAATATACTAAACACGGTGGATAAAGTTATAATGGCGGAATGTTATCGTGGTGGTATGTGATATAAAGTTATCTAAATGTATCCTCCAAGTCGCTACTGTTCCGCATCTTACATAACTTTATCCTATCATAAATATTGGTTATCTTGTGGGCAATAAAATGTTGGATAACGCTCCGTGTATGTGTGTGTATGTGGGGGTCGTAGTCTAAGAGGTTCGTAAGTTAAACTCGTCTCGTGAGGTGTACGAATGTTGGGTCTCTCCGTCTCACTTAATCAGTGTCACATAAACGTCATAACATTCCTGAGTTTATGCTTGAAGAATTGTTTAGTTTTCCTTCCCAAGAGCTTATAATCATATGTATTTATTTTATGTATTTGTAATCTTATAAGACCTTTCAAATATGTGGAAATAGGGGATTTAAAATGACTATCTGGGTGACTGGGTGCCGCCATTTTGATGATGAAGCCGCTAAGTCAAGCGGCCATACCCGTCTTACTAGTATCAACTCGAGGCTGAATATAAAATTTTTGACCTAGTGACGTCAAACATTAGTTATTCAGACAAATAATAAAGAATAAGAGATATTGAAAGTCATTATAATCAATAAAGAAGACGTGGAATTATTCATATGACAGATGCGACGTTCATATGGAAATACGTCAATGTTGTAATAGTGAGGCAACACGTTACCCTTGGAAGGTATATACGATGTTGATATACCTTACTTATCATAACATTGTCGCCCTTGTTTTATATACAGTAGACTCGCTCCTTAGGCTGCATTTGCGCAATTTGTATTGGTGAAATCTGTCCAGGTTAGCTTAGCAAGACGTAAACAGTTGCTTCAGAAGACTAGGTAATGCCATACTGTCTAACGTGTACAAATATCATTATTTAATTTCTGTGGATATCAGTAACTGGGGTTTATTTACTTGGCTCTCATTTACAGGAACTCCTCTTGAATATTTTGTTTTCAGTTTAGTTAAAGTAAATAAGCTTGAATGACAGTCAAGAGACATACTAGTAGCACCTCTGTGATGGGTGGAGGTGTGATGGGTATGAGGGTGGAGGTGTGAGGGTGGAGTGCATGGGATTGGAGGGCTTGAGGGTGATGGCTATGAGGGTGGAGGGTGTGAGAGTGTGGGGCGTGAGGGTGTAGGACGTGAGGGTGTAGGACAGGAGGGTGGAGGGCGTGGGAGTGTAGGGCATAAGGGTAGAGGGTGTGAGAGTGTGGGGCGTGAGGGTGGAGGGATTGAGGACGTGAGGGTGGAGGGCGTGAGGGTGCGGGACGTGGGGTGTGTGAGGATGGAGAGCATGAGGGTGGAGGGCGTGAGGGCTGAGGCGTGAGGATGGAGGGGGTGGGTGGGGGGGGCGTGAGGGTGGGGGGGTGGAGGGTGGAGGGCGTGAGGTGGAGGCGTAAGGTGGAGGACGTGAGGGGTGGGGGGCGTGAGGGTGGAGGGCGTGAGGGGTGGAGGGCGTGAGGGGTGGAGGGTGGAGGGCGAGAGGGTGGAGGGCGTGAGGGAGGGCGTGAGGGTGGGGGCGTGAGGTGGGAGGGCGTGGGGGTGGAGGAGCGTGAGGGGTGGAGGGTGGGTGGGGGCGTGAGGGTGGAGGGGGGGGCGGAGGTGCAGGGCGGTGGGGGGGCGTAGGGTGGAGGACGAGGGTGGAGGGCGTGTGGGGAGGGGCGTGAGGGGTAGAGGGACGTGAGGGTGGGGGGCGTGAGGATGGAGGGCGTGAGGGTGGAGGGCGCGAGGGTGGAGGGCGTGGTGGAGGGCGTGAGGGTGGAGGGCGGAGGGTGGAGGACGGAGGGTGGAGGGTGAGGTGGGGGTGCACTGGGTCGCTTGCAGCTCCTATTGATCCTTCTGCAGAGGGCGGGTCTCGTTACTGCCCGGCTGCTGTTGCTACTGTTGTGACTACTGTTGCTGCTGTTGTGACTACTGTTGCTGCTGTTGTGACTACTGTTGCTGCTGCTGTTGTGACTACTGTTGCTGCTGTTGTGACTACTGTTGTAACTAATGTTGCTGCTGTTTTTACTACTGTTGCTGCTGTTTTGACTACTGTTGCTGCTGTTTTGACTACTGTTGTGACTACTGTTGCTGCTGTTGTGACTACTGTTACTGTTTTGACTACTGTTGCTGCTGTTGTGACTACTGTTGCTGCTGTTGCGACTACTGTTGCTGCTGTTGCGACTACTGTTGCTGCTGTTGTGACTACTGTTGCTGCTGCTGTGACTACTGTTGCTGCTGCTGTGACTACTGTTGCTGCTGTTGCGACTACTGTTGCTGTTGTGACTACTGTTGCTGCTGCTGTGACTACTGTTGCTGCTGTTGTGATTACTGTTACTGCTGTTGTGACTACTGTTGCTGCTGTTTTGACTACTGTTGCTGCTGTTGTGACTACTGTTGCTGCTGCTGTGACTACTGTTGCTGCTGTTGTGATTCATTACTGCTGTTGTAGTACTGTTGCTGCTGTTGTGACTACTTTGCTGCTGTTGTGACTACTGTTGCTGCTGTTGTGACTACTGTTGCTGCTGTTTTGACTACTGTTGCTACTGTTGTGACTACTGTTGTGCTGCTGTTTTGACTACTGTTGCTGCTGCTGTGACTACTGTTGCTGCTGTTGTGATTACTGTTACTGCTGTTGTGACTACTGTTGCTGCTGTTTTGACTACTGTTGCTGCTGTTGTGACTACTGTTGCTGCTGCTGTGACTACTGTTGCTGCTGTTGTGATTACTGTTACTGCTGTTGTAGTACTGTTGCTGCTGTTGTGACTACTTTTGCTGCTGTTGTGACTACTGTTGCTGCTGCTGTGACCTGTTGCTGCTGTTGTGGCTACTGTTGCTGCTGTTGTGACTACTGTTGCTGCTGTTGTGACTACTGTTGCTGCTGTTTGACTACTGTTGCTGCTGTTGTGACTACTGTTGCTGCTGCTGTGACTACTGTTGCTGCTGTTGTGATTACTGTTACTGCTGTTGTGAGTACTGTTGCTGCAGTTGTGACTACTTTTGCTGCTGTTGTGACTACTGTTGCTGCTGTTGTGACTACTGTTGCTGCTGTTTTGACTACTGTTGCTACTGTTGAGACTACTGTTGCTACTGTTGTGACTACTGTTGCTGCTGTTGTGGCTACTGTTGCTACTGTTGAGACTACTTTTGCTACTGTTGTGACTAATGTTACTGCTGTTGTGACTACTGTTGCTGCTGTTGTGGCTACTGTTGCTGCAGTTGTGACTACTTTGCTGCTGTTGTGACTACTGTTGCTGCTGTTGTGACTACTGTTGCTGCTGTTTTGACTACTGTTGCTACTGTTGCTACTGTTGTGACTACTGTTGCTGCTGTTGTGGCTACTGTTGCTACTGTTGAGACTACTTTTGCTACTATTGTGACTAATGTTACTGCTGTTGTGACTACTGTTGCTGCTGTTGTGGCTACTGTTGCTGCTGTTGTTAATACTTTGCTGTTGTTGTGACTACTGTTGCTGCTGTTGTAGCTAGTTGCTGCTGTTGTGATTACTGTTGCTGTTGTGACTACTGTTGCTGCTGTTGTGGCTAGTTGCTGCTGGTGACTACTGTTGCTGCTGTTGTGGCTACTGTTGCTACTGTTGTGACTACTGTTGCTGCTGTTGTGAGTACTGTTGCTACTGTTGTGATTACTGTTGCTGCTGTTGTGACTACTGTTGC